TTTCCCTCGGACACAGAGGACCCCAAAACGTTCGGTATCCTGGAGGAGCGGCATCCCCACCCTAAAAGATTAATGTTATCTTGGCAATGGGCCTTGACTTCCACCATTTATTCAGGACTAGGAGAGTTTGAAAGTTTTGGGGCGTTTCTTCCGCACCCTTGTGTTACAGGCGATACCCCGGCACTGCACATGAACACAGACATTGTCCAGTTTTTACCAGGATGAACTGGGCCGGGCTCTTCTGCAGCAGGGTGAGGTTAGGGTAAAGGGAGCAAGGGAGAGACGACAGGAGGAACCTGCTTTGCTTTGCAGATCTGGTTATGGACTGTACCCAGATGACACCTGCTGAAGAAAATGTACAATTTCACTTCCAGCCTATTTACACTGTATTATTTCTGTTCTGTTGTTTTGCTTCTGGTGGTGAAATCAGTAACGGGACTGACTCAGGAAACAAAAATCATGAAACCCTGCATGGACTGCACTAAAAATAACCCTGGATGCCAGATTTCAGTGGTGTCACAACCTGCTCCAGGCCACTTCCTGTAGGGTTACGTCAGGTAGTAGCGCGGGACCAGCGGAGGCAGGAGTTGTGCTCCCTGAGCCGCCGTGGCCCTGCATCGCGGGAAGCCATCCGCCGAGTAACGGTGCTCGGGGCGAGGCCGCCACACAGAGCTCCATCCCTCCAACAGACGGGCCCCTACAGAAGCCAAAACCCACCCAACACAAACCCCAGCCCTAAATTCAAAGTTTGAAAAGCAGAAGTTTATTAATGAGCTATTCGAAACACAGGGAAACCCCCCCATCCTTCCTGAACTCAGGCGTCGCCTTCAGGATTCTCAGCAGACCCACCCAGTATCTCCTCCCACGTGAGGGTAGGCTGTTCTCCAGGACACTGCTCTCTCCTGAAAGGACAAACTGTCACTGCTCTGGTGGTGTCCGACAGAAGGTCCGAGGAATCCAGGAGGTGTTGCAGTGAGAAAGAAATTGCTTTTACGGTGCAGTTACAAGACTTAAAATTGTTTCAGGGAAGTAAAACAGTCCTTTTGGGGACATTTGAGTAAAGATCTTGAAGAAACAGCTCATTCCAACGCACACGATTGCCGGTCTCAAGGTACGTGTTCTCGGGGGCAGCTCAGTGCTAAGAAAACGTTAAGATCAATGGTCCCGACTGATCAAAATCCCTATCTTCACTATCGACACGTGAGTGCAGCACACCTCAGTGGGGAAGAGTCGTACCTGGCTTTAAAAAAGAACCAGAAATTAGTACAGAGAGGCTTTTTGGTTTTAGACAAGCAAACCAGAATTACTCAACTGCGCAGAACATGGGAGAAGCGCAGCCCCAAGGGAATACAGTTTTGCCCTACAAGGGACTGATCAATCCGCTGGAGAAGGCGGGTGGGGGGTGGAACTAGATGGTCTTTAGGGTCCCTTCCACCCCAAGCCACCCCGTGATCCTGTGAATTCTCAGCAAGGGGTGTCAGCCTAAAGCACAGGCGCTGAAGTGACAAGAACAGATCTGTTGAACAGTACTGAACTGCAGCGTTGATCTGCTCCCGAGAATGAGGACGGGCTGCGCATCCTGCTGCCCGGTCGGCGCGAGGACGCCGTCGCTTCCACAGAACGGCCTTTTGTTTTCAGAACAGCCCCCACACGGGGATATCAGGGACTCGGGTAGGCTGCGCTGTTAACCTGGTGGAGTTGAGCTGCTCGGGGGGGCAATAACACGCCTTGTTCCTGGCGAGAGTGAGGAACACTCCATTCCACAGCAAAGGAAAGGGTAACAGCGGCACAAGCGGGCTCTGCGGAGAGCCACAAGAGTGGATGGAAGTCCCAAAGTTGACAGTTTTCGCACAGAATTCAAATCTTGAGAGCTTGTAAGGCAACCTGTGGTTTCAAACAACTTTGTCAGGCAACAGCGCACCGTCACAGAGCACGAAATCAGGATACTCACCACCCCTCAAACCACGGCGACTCGGCTATTTTGCATTCATTTCTCTCTCCGCTGCTGCTGCTTCCATTCGGCTTTGTTTTAAACCCTACAGGGTACAGATGAATAAAACCTTGTTTTTACCAACGTGGACATAAAAGCTTTAGTCACAGAACAATTTTTGGGCAGTTTCGTTTTAGTCCTTTAGAAATGAAGAGCAGCTTTTAACTCCTTGGGGAGGTCAGAACGGGTGGTTTGCAAACGGACCAAGGCCAAGCTACGTGTCCCTTTCTAAGAGGTGGCTCTACAGAATCATTTCAGATACGTCGCTCTTGTTCAATTAAAAGTGGATTAAAGCAATCCTCAGTGCTGACAGCTCCTACCGGACCTACAGAGTCACCGGAAACAATGATGAACCCTCCCTGGAAAAACGCCAAATCTGGCCCTGGATGGGATACTAGGGGTCACACTCCAAGAAAACGCCCCGAAATGACACATAAACATCCTCAGATTTACTCCAGCCGCCTGCAAACAGAGAGTGGGTGGTTTCAGAGCGGCTGTGAAACACCGGCTGTAAAAGCACTCCTCCGGCGGAACAACGAACTAAACTACGGGCTGGCTCGTGTGGATCCTGCTCAAGGACACCAACAGTTACACAGCACAAAATACCCTTGGATTTAGCGATCATAAATGAGAGACGTAACAGCAGCCCTGCCTGTCTAACCTCTTGCTGAAAACAGCAGCTGCAACACAGAAGGAAAGTTCCAAGGACACTTCAAAACGAGATCAGCACGTACCAGGAAATATCCAGTGTGATAACCGCTCATGTACCAGGCTATCAACATACTCCCCAGCGCTTCGTCGTCCTCGGGACAGTCTGGCCTCATGGGCGGAGGAGGAGGAATCAGCTACGGAATCGCAAAGGAAACATCTGTGTTTCAGCAGGGTCAGACAGCAACCGATCGCACAAGACCAAAACACCAAACTGAGAAATAGCAACACACCCTCGATGCACCCCCTGAAAAGGAGTCAATTAGTAAGCTATTTCTGAGTACAGGTTGTTTCCAAAGGCTGGAAGAAATGGGATTCTTGTGGCTGGACTGCACACAAATAGTATTATTAGAGGCAAACACTTATCCGCTCCAGCAAAACACGGAAGGTGTTGTTTATTCACATAACCTTTCTCTTGATATTCTTACCAACAGCTTCGCTGCCACAAAAACAAGTGCAGACCAAACCTTCTGCGTTAGATCCCTGTAATATTTGTAACTGGATGTGTTATCAAACACCAGGAAAATACAGGCCCAAGTGCAGCAGTGTGTCCAAAAACAGGTGGTGAGCACCACGAGTTAGAAAAGCTGAGCTCACCATCGTTCATCTCTGCCCCTTCCTCACCCTCCTGCCACTTACCGGTGGTCCTGCTGGGAAGGGGGGTGGCCAGCAAGACAGAAACGATGGAAGTGCTCTGAATTTTGATCCAAGCTACAGTGAAAAAATGGAACAGTGCCAATTAAGGAGAAATCTCAAGCATTAGGGTTTATTACAGTGTTACTTGAAGCAATTCAGAAACTTTAGACAAAGTCAGCACATCCCAGTAATTTAACAAAACTGCAATGACAACACACAGCAGCTGTTTCCATGTAGCGTTCATGACTGGAAAAGCAAAACCTGTATTACACGTGTCACCGAGGCCAAACAGTGCTGAAATGGGATTCTCGCTAACACAAGCATTTTAAAAACTGTTTTCTAAATAGAAGCCAGTTGCACCCTCACATGAAGACACACGTCTAATGTTGCCACAGGCGAACACGTAACTTCGCTGCTCCTGTGTGACTGGGGGCACAGGCTGACTAAATTCCATGGTGCTTGTGGATGCATTTAAAATGAGGTTAGATACGGATCTACTGATATGAAAGGGGAAAAAAAAAAAAAAAGATAAAAGCAAAGCTTATAAAGAAATCTTGCCCCAACTAGTACTTAGAAAACAAAACGCTGCGTTCAAAACAAAACGCTGCACTATTCAGACTCCACCACAACAGGAAAGCTGAAGAGGGAAAGCTGAAAGAGAAGGCTCCGGGGAGACCTTATAGCAACTGACAGTACCTGAAGGGGCTACAAGGAAG